CATCATGGGGATTTCTAGGAAAACTGGGGTTTTTGGAATTGGAAATCAGAGAGTCATCTGGAAGGTGGCCTGATTCATGGGAAACATGAAAATCAGTTTTGGACCCTCTGGGATGAACCAGAAGGGGCATGATCACCATAAAAATTATTGTAACAATTAAGATGATGGACCAGAATACAATCGGAAGTAAAGGTGGAATTGGCTTCCGCCCAAGACTCTTGACAGCTGGAGCTTGGTCAAGCAGCAGTCGTAGAGGTCTGGGCATCGCCAATCCACTAATATTACAATTGAAAATATTACTTCTGCACTATGAAACAGAAGATATGGGGTTCAGAGGGGAGCCCATCTGAGTGAGGACTTTATCTAGCCACTGAAGAGGCCCATGAAGATGAATCTCAATCCAACATGGAGTGCTCGTAACATCCTGTCGATGATATTCTGCTCCCCAGCCCTAGGAAAAAGAACAAATACCATAGCAAATCCCTCTTCAAACTGTCACAGTCTAAATCAATTTTACTGTAACAATAAAAGTTTAACAGTAAAGATAAGCAGAACATACTTAAAGGAAATAACTACCACCAAACCAATCTTAGCATTCACCTTGGAATTAAAAGCAACACAATACCTGCACTACTGAATGATAAGTGATTTAAAAATAATAATAATATTTAATCCCTTCATACAAACCAGTGGGGCCAGATATGTTTCCGAATTATTTTTAATAAATATAACCCATAAATAGCCTCATGTAAGTTCAGACCAAATTTTGCCACCAAAAAAGTTTTTGGTTTTGGGGTTTTTCATTTGTAATTTTTAAAGCAGCAGATAAAACACTGCAGATCTGATCAATGCATGCATGTGTAATTTAATGTAGCAATCATGTATCAATTACCCTTTCAGATGGGAAATTGCTGGAATAAACTAGGCGGAAAAAACACTTTACCTTAAAAATCCAGACAAAGATTAAAACAGAATATTTTCTATCTTATTTGCCTGGATTTATCAAGTTCTCTACTACTTACAGGTAATGCTAGTCCGGGAAAATTGGAAAGTAAAAGAAAATAGAGATTAAAATAAATATGGAAGTCATTTTTTTTATGGGGAAGTGGCCTCATGGCTACTAATAAACTAATGCATGCAAAAGACCTATGGCAAAAGAGCAGGAAAACACTGGACTATGGGACTGAATGTCAAAAACAAAAACAAAAAAAAACCCGTAACATTTGACAGGCACTCTTTTTTGGTAAGTCCTTAAGGACCATTTATATACAGTATAATTTGCTTGGGAGCTCTGGTAGCATAGTGGCTAAGGCACTTGACTGCTAACCAGAAGGCTGGCGGTTTAAACCCACCAGCCACTCCTCGGAAGGAAGGTTGGGCAATCCTACTTCCGTAGTGATACTGCCTCAGAAACCCAAGGAGGGGTCACTATGAGTCGGGGCCGACTCGACGGCAAACAACAACAACATAATTTGCTTAAATATATCACTAAAATTATTTCCCGATTTTGTTCATGAATCAGCATCTTTGGAATGCCAGTCAAATCAAGCCAAGAAAGTAAACAATGAATTTGAAAATTTCCTTGAACTTTGCAAATCCTTAATAACAGAGCTTAGATACAAGTAAAATAATTTTACTGCTCACTCAAATCACAGTAATAAATTTAAAAAACATAGTAATAATCTTAGTACTCAAAATAATTCTGTAAGTCACTCTAATGCAATCTATTAATAATTGAAACTGTTATGGCTAAGGAACTCAAAAAGCAATTCTAGTATTAAATACTTTCCAGCAATTTAGGTCTTAGCTGAAATTCTTCAGCCCCACTCAATAAGAAATCACTATCATATACTTTGTAACAACACCTGGATTATAAATGAAATCTCAGAACTATCATGTAGTTAAAAGTTATAATTTCAAGAATTTCATTTAAAAATCTACTAAATCAGGGTACAAGTAATAATCATCCTTTGTATTTAGCAAAATGTCATTTTTGTTATAACATACAGAAATATACTTATTTTACAGTGGCTCAAATTAATTTACAGGTCACAGTCCACTCACCTTGACAAAGCTCATTCGAATGGTGCACATTTTGGTGAGCTCATATACTGCCTCAAACCCATGGTTGACAGACTGAGCCAGAAGCTGAGCAAATTCCTGATTGTTAAAAATTTTAAGGCTGCAGCTGCTGGGAATCTTACAGACAGTAGTGGGATGAAAGCCATGATGAAAGTTGCAGTTCCTACTCTGTACAAATATGCTGCTGTCACTGAGGCACTCCGCGTACACCTCCCCGCCGACATAGTACAGATGAACACCTAAAAAAGGCAGGCATAATGAGATTCAGCTTAACAAAGCATTATGATGAGATCAAAGAGACTGTATGAGGAATACCAAGCATATCCACTAACCCACAGAAACTCCCAACAGTCTTTAGATAAAAATTACCACTAGATGGCCTTCTCAGCCAACTATAAACAAGAGGTAAATGGGAAATGTAAATGAATTTAAAATGGTCCTCAAATAAAATAACTTAAGAAACACCTCAAGTTGACAGCATATTAGGTTATCAGCTCTTAGTTCTTTTTTTTTTTTTCCTTTTCCAACAATCATTTAAGGCACTTGACAACTAACCAGAAGACTGGCAGTTCAAACCCACCAGCCACTCCTAGGAAGGAAGGTTGGGCAACCTACTTCCATAGTGATACCACCTCGGAAACCAAAGGAGGGATTGCTATGAGTCAGATCAGACTCAAGGGCAGTGAGAGTTTTTTTCTTTTTTTTTAACTACCATAAACAGTTGTTCAGCAAAAAGTTTTGCACTTTTTACTAATGAAGAGGAGAACGCCCCCCCCCAAAAAAAACCAAACTCACTGCTGATGAGTCGATTCCAACTCATAGCGACCCCTCCTTGGGTTTCCAAGGTGGTATCTCTACAGAAGTAGATTGCCCAATCTTCCTTCCAAGCAGTAGCTGGTGGGTTTGAACTGCTAGCCTTCTAGTTAGCAGTCAAATGCCTTAGCCATTACGTTGAGGTCACAGAAATAATCTGTAAACAGCAGATTTTACTTTTTTTTTTTAAAAAAAGGAAGTATTTAAAAATAAAAATTATGTATGTGTGTGAATATAGTCTCAATATTAAAAATAAAAATATATAGCTAAAGTTGAAGTGACCTAGTATTTTCCCAACTTATAACCCCTACAAGTCTTCAAAGTGCTTTTTTCATAGCAATCGCTATCAGTTTGTTGTGTATCCTTTTAACTTTTTTTAACATGCATTTAATTACATGTATGTGTTCCCAAAGAATACTTACATATGGTTGTGTATGTGGGGGAGGGAGGGAGGGATTGTGTGTGTGCATTTAATATAAATGGTATCATACTCTGTTAAAATCAGAAATTGCTTCTTTTAACAACATTTCTTGAAGATTTCAGACCTATCTATCTATCTATATATATATTACATAAACTCTAAAAACTCACTGCCGTCAAGACTCATAGCGATCCTCCTTGGGTTTCTGAGGCGGTATCCCTAAGGGAAGTAGATTGCCCAACCTTCCTTTCAAGGAGTAGCGCTGGTGGGTTTGAACTGCCAGCCTTCTGATTAGCAGTCAAATGCCTTAGGCACTTAACGGGGTTAATACACACACACACACACACACACACAATATATAAATTATATAGTATATTTATTTTTTACACCATTAAGTGTCATATGTAATTCTGGAATGAGTATACAGTATTTTATTTAACTGTCTACTAACAGACATTAGAATGTTCCCAAGTTTTCACTACTGCAGACACTGCTACAAGGAATATCCTTGTACATACCTCTATATACATGTGAGTCAGAGACTTGCATCAGGCCGTGATACTAAAAAGTTTTATTTCTGAGAAAATAAAAAGTACTCATAGAGGAAAGGGTTCTAGAATCAGATATTGGAAAAAAAGGGAAAACTGATCCTAGAATTTCAGAATTCACCCAATAGCTCTCCCTTATTCTACCGTAATAGAGAAAAATCAATGCACAAAAGTGAGGCATTTCATTTAAAAAACCAAATCACAGCAAGTTGGCAGTAAGGTAAAAGAGAATGGAACCTTTGTTTTCAATTGATTTTGGGCCAGAATATTTTCTGTAACTCTCCTATAAGAAATCCCATTACAATTATAGGTACTTACCTTTCATTCCCAATTTGGACTAAGACTCTCAAATCAAAGAAGCAAAAACATAGCAAGTGATAAAAACAAAATTTCTAAGACACAATCAAGACATTCAATTTGGGATTACTTTCCTTCTTGACCATTGATGTATGAGACTTTTATATTTCATTGCAATGTGAAAAGTTTCTTGTTTATGGCAGCAAGTCATCTTGCAGGATTAACTATAAATAAAATTTTCTTATCTGAATTTAAAAGGGAAAAGAGGTGGCAGTAAAGCCTCTGGAGACTTAAATCATTCAAACTAGATTTCTTACCTGTAATTCTGCTCTTCAAACATTATGGACATTCTTAGACACCATTCCAACCCAAAATACTTCACAAACACTTTAATTTGAAAATTCTAATCCTTCATCAGCACTTTTTTTTCCACAAATATTTTGTCCTATGGAGTCAATCTAACTCAGAGTGACCCTATAGATACTTCTTATGTATTTACTATGAGCTACTGTT